TCTCTGATCCGTCCATGTTCATAGTCATCTGCCTGCTCAGACATCTAAGAGACCACAGCAAAATCCCATTTTATAAACGCCTGTTTACATAGATTCAGTTAAAAAGGGCTCAAAGTAAAGTGGAGGTCAAAGTAATGGAAGCATTGAAAGATCTATGCAGACACACTTAACAGATAGCAATATTTATAAGTGAATGAATGATTGAATGAAGGCTAGTAGGAGCCACTTAGCGTCAATACTGGCTCGTGCTCATGGTCCCCAGTTAGCAAATTAGTCTAAAGCACCTTTCATTGTTAGTCACAATAGCATTCTTGAGCATGGTGTTAAAGGAATGGTATGTCTTGCTGAAGGTTGTTCATTCTCAATAAATGTCACCTGCACAGCGATCACATGATGAGCTTAATTATTAAACTTCACATATTACACTTTAGCAGAGTTCTTCACTGTCTTGGAACACAATGAATAGACAGTACCGTTAAGCCAGTATCACCACCACAGTGGCAAACATTACAAAGTTATCACAAACCATTTTAAAATAGCCTACGCTAATTTGAGAGAGTATGTTTGGTATAATGTTTTCAGAGTTATCATATCTGTTCACAGTGTGATTATGGACTTCAATTTCAACTTAATGGACTCCATAAAAATACCTTACATTTTATTGGCACTTCTTAAACAGCCAAGTATGATATAAGTCAACAGATTTGGGATCCTTTCAATTATCATTAAATATTAAGCTAATAGAATAAGAAATTGTACAAAGCAGCAGTGTTGATCCAGTATATTCTGAACAACCTTTCAGATGTTTACCTTAATACTTAATTTGTTGTTATATAATTACATATGTAGATAATGTGGTTAGCATTTATATATAAATTGAATAAATCAAGCTCTTACTTTAGCCATAGATTTGACTGTCAAACGCAACATCTAAGCAAGTAATGAAGGTAAAGCTTGATACCAAGACCAGCAAATAACGGCGACTTAACTGTAGAGCTTTTATTACATAGCAAGCAGTCATTGCAAAAGCATCCAAAAAATCAAATTCTGATTAAATGTTGTCACAAACCTTCACAAAGTCCTCTCCTCAGCCTTCGGCCAAAACAAACGTTGTCTAAGATGTAGAGATATTCATAATGTAAACCCGTTTGAAGCGAGCTCTTTCTTTAAGGTTGATCAGTGAAGTGGTGAATTGAACTTTGAAGCCATAATGGGTAGTAGATTGACAAAGAGGGCAACTGTCTCTCACCTGACAGTGTGCAATGAGAGAGGTATAAAGGTTGCACATCATATTTACTGCTGTTTCTGTTCAGCTGCACACAATTTTAAGGAAATAGTTCATACAGAAAATTATAATATTGCTAATGGTGAGTCAAAGTAAGGGGAGATCTTGCTCCTTTAGGATACATTCAAGCATTGTTAGCATTTTTGAGTGAGGAATTCATTTAAACAACTGAAATGGGAAATGTATTTGCTTGTTAATGACAATCACATTGAGGCATGTGCCCGTCCCCTGGGCCCCACCTTCCTGCCGGCTCTTGCGGCTGTCATCAGGGCCCAGGGGACGGGCACATGCCACAGTGTGATTGTCATTAACAAACAAATACATTTCCCGGGCGCATGCAACACATATATAATCTGTTAAGGCTGTGAACATAGTACGGTTATATCTACAGTTGCATGCAAATGTTTGAGTGCCACTGGTTAAATTATGTTGTTTTGTTGATTTTCTAAGTGAAAATAAGTTAACACATCCTCTACAGAGAGGATGGATACACACTTCTGCACATTTTAATACACAATTACTGTTAATTTTCTGAGTTTACCAATACTGGGGGACAAAAAATGTGATCTGTGCAAATTGCAAATTTTAAATTTTTTCCAACATGGTAAACTGCAGAACATTTGCAGAAAAAGTTGCATATTTAAGTTTGTTCTCTGTAAAGGATGTGTTCACTTTTCATTTGAAAAATCAAGAAAACATGTCATTGGAATGTTCAAACGTTTGCATACGACTGTATGCCTTTGCATCACACATATCGCTGCTGTCAGAAGAAAACCTTGTATCTCCATTTTTGTAGTTTTTCAGTTTTTGGCATAATTTGAAAATGCCTGTTGCCCTATAGATCAAGCAAGCAAGCAAAGTTTATTTATATAGCGCTTTTTACAACAGGTGTTGTCACAAAGCAGCTTTACAAAACAAAACAAAATCAGCATTACAAAAAGAAATCCGGGTCCAAACCCCCATGAGCAAGCCAGAGGCGACAGTGGCAAGGAAAAACTCCCTAAGAGAAACAGGAAGAAACCTTGAGAGGAACCAAGACTCAGAAGGGGAACCCATCCTCCTCTGGTCAACACCGGATAGTAAAACATTGTTAGTACAAAAACGGGCTAAACAGGTGGAGCAAATTATTAATTTGATTAGTTTATGCAGCAGCAGCAGCAGCATCAGTGGGGTCAGGATGTGAGGGTGAGGTTGCATGGCGTTGTACAGCATGAAGCTAAACGGTGGTCAAGCCGGTCCAGAGGGCTGGCAGCAGTGGCATCCGATCAAGGCAGAAGAGGCAGCAGCATCAGACGCACAGGATGGGTAGCTGTTCAACTCGGCAAAGAAAAGAAAGAAAGGAAAAACACACAGAGAGTCAGTTCTGTAATGGGTGACTGATCATATATTACAGTGTTAGCAGAGCAGCAGAGACTCTGGCAGGTATAGAACCAACAGGGAAAACTAATTACCAAAGTCTTGACTATACAAGTAAGTTTTTAGCCTAGCCTTAAAGACTGAGGCCGTGTCTGAGTCCCGAACATTAACAGGAAGACTATTCCAAAGCTGGGGGGCTTTGTATGAGAAGGCTCTCCTCCCTGACGTAACTTTATTAATTCTAGGTACTAATAGTAAGCCAGCACCTTGTGATCTAAGTAGACGTGATGGATTATAATGGGAGAGAAGTTCACTCAGGTACTGAGGGGCGAGTCCGTTTACAGCTTTATAAGTCAGTAAGAGAATTTTATAATCAATGCGAAATTTAACTGGTAACCAGTGTAGGTTTGATAGAACTGGGCTGATATGGTCAAATTTTCTGGTTCTAGTAAGAACTCTGGCTGCAGCATTCTGGACTAGCTGAAGCTTGTTAAGGCTTTTGCTCGGACATCCAGCCAGCAGGGCATTACAGTAGTCTAGCCTCGAAGTAATAAATGCATGAATTAACTTTTCTGCATCCTGTAGAGATAATATACATACATACTTACATCATCTAAACTGCTTATCCTTCTGGGTCGCTGGAGCCTATCCCAGCTGTCATTGGGCGGAAGGCAGGATACACCCTGTACAGGTCGCCAGTCCATCACAGGGGAGACAGACAGACATACACAATCACACACACCTAGGGGCAATTCAGCATGTCCAATCAGCCTGACTGCATGTTTTGGACTGTGGGAGGAAACCGGAGTACCCGGAGGAAACCCACGCAGACACGGGGAGAACATGCAAACTCCACACAGAAATGACCCTGGTCACCCAGCCGGGAATCGAACCCAGGCCATTCTTGCTGTGAAGCGACAGCGCTACCCACTGCGCCACCGTGCCGCCCTGTAGAGATAATGCATTTCTTAATTTAGCAATATTGCGGAGATGCAGGAAGGCTGTTCTAGTGATATTAGTTATATGTGCCTCGAAGGACAGATCAGGGTCTATCATGACACCAAGATTTTTTACAGGTGAGCTTGATGCAACTGAGAAATTGTTAAGTTTAAGTGTAAAATTAGACAGTTTGTTTCTAGCTGCTTTTGGACCAAGAAGTAGAACCTCTGTTTTATCCAAATTAAGAAGGAGAAAGTTACTCGACATCCAGTCTTTTACGTCTTTTTATACTTGCCAAGTTTAATTTTATCATCCAGTTCGCTTGCTAAATATAACTGAGTGTCATCGGCATAACAGTGGAAATTTATGCCGTGTTTACTGATAATGGTGCCCAGTGGTAGCATATATAGTGTGAATAATACAGGTCCTAAAACAGAGCCTTGTGGAACACCATACTTTACTTTTGCGAGGGCAGATGATTCACCATTTAAATTAACAAACTGATAGCGATCAGTGAGGTAGGACCTAAACCAGGAAAGAGCTATTCCTGTTACTCCTACAAGGTTTTCTAGTCTATCTAATGAGATAGCGTGGTCTATTGTGTCAAATGCCGCACTAAGATCGAGGAGGACTAACAGAGACACTTTTTCTTGGTCAGAGAATAATAATAGATCATTTACAATTTTTACTAGTGCTGTCTCTGTACTATGATGTGGCCTAAAACCAGATTGAAATTTTTTGTGTATTTGATTCCTATGCAAATAGGAGCTTAATAGATGTGCAAGTCTGGTCCCATTGACTTACATTAAAAGTAAAGTTGGTTTTTCCTTTTCCTGTAAAGTTACTATTTTGGATATACAAGGTCTTCTTCCGATAACAGCAATATATTTCTCCTTAAATTGTGGGCTGTTACTCGTCAATCAGTTCTGCATGTAAACGTGTAAAATTTTCAATAAAAACTGATCATAAAAACAAGCTGTAAACATAAATGTAAAAAGTGAAATGATCAGAAAAACAAGTGTTTTAAATAGTATTTAATATCTTCATTCCCTTGTTCCATATAAAAGGGTAAATTCAAATCTTACCTCTTCACATTTACAGTTTACAGTGAAAAGTACTTAGCATTAAAAAGTCATAAAGGCCAATATTAGTTAAACTAAAAGGCTTTTACACTTGATCTTGATTATGAGTGCACAATAACCAGAAACACATAGATTTAAAGTAATAATTTATTTTGGTTTAGTAATAATTTATCATATAATTTGTTTTCATTTTAGTAAGAGTTGTTTCATTAGTGTAATACCTTTAAATTTTATGATAATCAGTAAAATTTAATTATGATTGTTACTATAATAAATGAATGACAGACAAAGGCATATCACTATGTTATAGTATCATTTGTATAATAATGCACTGCATCCATGGAACAAGTCTTTAGTCATTTAATGATCAGAAGAAATATGCTGCATTATTAAGTCACATTTAAACAAAGAAGACATAAAGCACATTTTCATGTAAATATTGAGCCCACTTCATCAAAATTTCATTAAAAAATTAAAAATGTTCCAGTTTAAGCACATACATGAGGTCCTTCATTGTCGACATTTAATTCCGTGTCGTCAGAGTGCTTCTCATCATAAACACATAATGAAGGAAAGCATCCGCATGTGAAAGCAATTTCTTTTCAAAAATACAGTAGGCATACAACATTTCCAAATAATAAGTAATATATTCCATAAAACTGACATGGCTGTTTTAAATAACTACTGTGAAATGCTGTGAAATCACTGTCCAAACTTCACACTAATATGTATTTAGTGTCTGATATGACATAACACTGGAAGGAATGAATGATCAAAACTGGAAATGTAGCATGTCTAGGCTTTCACAGATGACAAGTTGAAAGAAAACCTGCTGCAACTCTATACTGTGACAACGTTGAGAGCCTTTTATAGACCATGAAGCTTTGCCAAAAATCTTACATAGCACTGTACATGTCATAATCATAATTCAAGTGTGACCTTCTGTACACAGCACATGGTGAAGGAAACTGAGGATACTGCTAGCCAGCAAAAAGACCAAATCTTTTTTATATAAACTCAGAGGGGTTATTTAATTACTTTTCTATTTATACAATAGTGCACAAGCTAATAAATCTTTTGTCATAACAGAAATGTTCAGTCTCAAATGCAGCATTAACATAAGACTTGCAGCGTTATAAAAACAAATGCGCCGTGCAACATCCATGTAAAGCACATAAAGAAGTACAAACAGAACAACAAACAGAGCGTTTATGCATAATCCACTTTCACATATTATGAAACATTTATATCAGTTATTAAGCACAAAAAATAATTCAGAACAGTGCCAGTTCTCATGGGAATGTAAAGTCAACAACTGTCAACTAGAGTCTGACTGCACGCTGTTAGTGCACGCTGATTGACTGTCAACCTTTAAAAGTATTAAAGCCTAATTTTAGTATTAGTCTTTCATTTGTATTAAATTTCCTATATTCCTATATTCACTAGACGCATTAAACCTCAAGACAGCCTAATGATGTACAATACTGATACATTAAAGCTTGTGATGATTTTTTGTTTTTCTGATGATAATTTGAAAGAGGCAGAAATTGCCACAAAAAACCCCCACAAAAACAGTATCAAGATCATAATGTAACTGTTCACTGTTTTAGAAGTACTGACAGTATCCACTCTAGGCTCACAAAAGCATATAATGACATAATTGATCACAATAATGATGATCATACTGCCCACCCCTACAGGCAGACAACTACCAAAGTAACAGGTTACAACATTTGGATTTGTATGATATTTACTGTGCATATTGTTGCTGTCAGAACAAAACCTTGTATCTTCTTCGGATTTTTCTTAATAAGACTGTCTGTTGCTCTTAATATTTTGTGTGAATGTGTGATAAATGGACCAATACACCTGGTCCTAATCGACTTAGAAAAAAAACATTGTTACCTTAACTTACATCAAAAGTATAGAATGTTTTTTTCCTTCTCCTGTAAAGTTAGCATTCTGGGAGGTTTTGTTGTGGCACTGTTGTATACTATTTTTACCATTAATAAAACATTTGTTGTGGTAAACAAAAATTATAATAATTTTTCACATCAAATCTCCTAAACCTGATTAATTATCCATATTTACACCATTAAATATTTACGCCTTGGTAATGTAAAGCCCATCCAATTGTCTTCAACATTATAAATCACATGAAATGATGGACTTGTGAGTGAATGGTGAGTTGTTCCTTCAATTTATTCCTAAATAGCATCACTAAAGAATGCAAAATTATGTCAGCTGGTAGCACATTTCATTCACTGGTAGCCACATTTGTCATTTTTGGTTACCTCGTAACAGTTAGTGCTGCTGGCTGGTATTTACATATGAACAGCTGTGTTTGGAGTGTACACACCAACTTCTCAGTCCTCCTGGTGGTTGTACAGGATGTCTGCAGTGGGGTTCTTCCTATGAGCTGGAGGCACCAGGTGTGGAGGCAGCTCTGAGGGCAGCTCGAAACCCTCCAGCTTGATCTTAATGAGATGTTGAGCCAAAGCAAACTCCTCGTCATCCAGCATGCCATCCTTGTCACAGTCCGCCAGTTTCCAGATCTTTCCAAGCACGGTGTTAGGCAGGCGCGAGTTCATCATCTCCTTCTTGGCATTGACACCTGTCACCTTGCCATTGATAGGCATGAGGGTGTAGAAGATCTCATCGTAGCGCGGCTTATCACGGCTCACAATCCAGTCCTCAGTGTCAGCCCCAGCGCTAATGCCCTCGCCGTAGCCATGGCCGAACGGCCCGTCCTCTGAGCCTTCGAACGCACCGCCGGTCACCATTTGAGGTGGCAGTTTGCCCTCCTCCTCCCGGATCAGGGTCATCAACCCTGAGATCTTGTTGCTCAGCATCTTGTCCACTGATTCAATCAGCTTTATTTTCAGGGAGGGGAACTTGCTGAAGTCATAGTGCATGAGCTGTTCCTGTATTAACAGATGTAAGAGAATTGACAATTAAGCCCTTTTAATTAAGGCCAGGGCCCAACAGTGGGCCCAAAGTTTTATTACACACTTCTATAACCTAAGAATAGCTCAACCAGTTTGCCCTGATGTCCCTGTAGTTGCTGAATAATAACTCTTAGTATGTAATAAGCCTGGGATTTTAAGGGGTTTTAAAAGAAAGATTTCATTGATTGATTTATTTACTGTTGTAATGTTTTTTTCTGCTTTGCTGATACTGCAGGCAAAGCTAACAAGCTATGTGGAGCAGGCAAAAGGGCAAATCAACAAGCACTGAATTGATTCTTTTTTTAGAGATATCCGAGACTGTACAAATGATAATCAATGCTGGGCTTTGAAGGTAAATCTATTTGGAGCTCAGCCTGTATCTTCTAAGTGCTACCTGGAAGCTGTCCAGTCTTAAGAGACCCCAATGCTTATGTTTATTCTGTCCCATTGTATTGCATTCTATTGTACAGTAGCAATCAACTACTGTATCAAGAGTTATCATTATCAAGATAATGCATTCAAAGATCTCTGTGAGTATTTAAGGAACACTAAAAACAAACTTTTTCTGGCTCAAATTATGTGGAACACTTTAGATTACACGTGTTTGGTATTTTTAGTGGTTTCTACAACACAGCAGGTAACGTGGGCCTAACCTCTGCTGTGCCTGGTGTTGTGCAAACATCCACAGACGAGACTATAGTACATGGTCCCTCTGTTCAGCACACAATAACAGGGCTGTCTGCTGTCCTCCTCAGGAATCAAACCCCATTGCTTATTGCACACTGGCTTAGGCAGTTTGCTAAAACTGTCCCAGGTTCAGTAATGTTCTTACAGATGTCTAAACTGGAGAAGCTTAAAGATTCATTAAGTTGCCTTCACCAATGCTCTGCTTTGTCAGAAGGACAGATACGGACAACAGCCAATGTGTTAAAAGGCTTCTCTAGACATGCCTTTATGAAAGATTTACAAATGGCCATTTTGTTGTCAATCAGTAAACAAGATCACAATTACCTGGAAACGTCTTATTATTCATAAAGAAAAGAAGTATGGATTACAAAAAATTAGCAGCAAGATGCTGACAATTGTATGCTTTTCATTCAGTTTTGTTGCTCTGAATTGCTGACAAGTCTCTCCCTACATCACAACATTACCAGCAGCCTGTGCAAGCAGGCTACAAATGTTTCAAAAGTCAGTCATTTTCTGGTACTGACTGAAATATTATAATTGAAAAATTCCTTGTTATTCATTATTAGAGTTTAATACCTAATTAGTCAGTCTTATTAGCATTCATGAGCCAAGAAGCAGTTTTTTTCCAAAACCTAGACTGCTGATGGGCTGTCCAAATTCCATTCTGTATGCAAGTAACGACAGCACTTTTTGATTAGTCTGCAATTTGTTCACCCCACGCTCATTTTTGGTTTAAGCCACACCCACTTTCTGTAAAAAAAAGTAAGTATGGAAAATACTTACACAGTAAGTATTTTCCATACTTACTGTGTAAGTATGGAAAGTCTTGAACAATACTCAGTCCTAGGTGTAAGAAAGGCCATGCAAAACGTAGATGTCAGTCAGCCATTTGCATTGTTTACCAAAACAAGAATTTAGCTCACAATAGGCTTCATTATCATGAAATGCTGTATGACTCAGTTATGTTAAAGAAGAAAACATGTAAGGCTACATGACAACTGACATATACATATAAAAACATTCCAACAAGTAGTGTTGAGTTCGAGTTCGGTCTCAGTCTTGACAGTCCAGGAACAGTCCTTTCTCTACACGGGATAAATAACATCTGTTGGCTGCTAGTTGAGGATTTAATTGATCCTTTTCATGATGACTTAACTGGGTATTATTTGCTTGTTGCTGTTCATTGGTTCCAAAATTCAAACATCCCCCGAGGGCAGGTTGGAATGTTATTATAACAGTTTTCATTTAATAATAAAAATTGATTTTTTTGTTATTTGATTTATATTCAGTTGACTTTAGGTGATAATTGTAAATAAGTTTTAGAGAAGAAGGGACAGAGAATAACTTCAGTATCATCTGCTTTCAAAAGTTATAATGCAAAGTTGGACTAAGTCTATAATAATAATAATAATAATAATAATAATAATAATAATAAGGAGAAGAAGACGAAGAAGAATAATTTTAGGCTATGTTTATTTCATGTAGCCTTATGAACACCGCCCAACAGTAAAGTGTTAGCAAAAACACAAAAAAGCTGCAGTACAGGAGGCCTCTAGCTCTCTAGGCTCTCTAACTGGGATATAAAATGTTCAAAATAAAGGCATGTCATCAAATGTTTGCATAGTTTATGCAAAGCTTAGTTTGCAAAAAGCTTGGTTTGCTATCACTACCTTACTAATTTAGCTTGTTACAATATATTTAGCTTACAAAAACAAAACAGAAAAAAGTGGTATAAGTGTGGTACAGGACCTGGTGTTTGCTGGAATATAATCATTGCAAACATCACCGCTGTGAACATGAAAGGACAGACAGTTTTTTCTAGTTTTGATGTATGGTGTAAAGAGCCATTGGCTGACTGACTCACAACAGTTTGACTTCTTGCACTATCCTGCACTTACACTTTTCTATTTTTGGCTTTGTGCATCCATTTGAGACAGGAATATGCAAAATAGTACCTTTTAGATAACTTTTAAAGAAACTGTCACAACTAGAATTATTTCTAGAGCTCTTTTGAAACAGATCATGGTTTTTTACCAGAAGCTGCAGCAAAACAATGCATTGTGTGTTAATTTTCTGGGCTTTTCTGAGTACAAAAGATAGAAAAAAATAAATTTGATCAAGATTTCCAGGATACAACTAATTTAAGGATGTCACATTGGCTAAAAAATGTTGAATTTTACTGGAACTAAGAGAGAGGATTGCCTGTACTGCCTCACTTTGTTCACAAATGCAACTTTGTTTACAAAAGCAATCCATTGTAACGACAAGAAACCTAATAAGGGCATGACGGGTGATTAAATAACAACTTACGCAAGTGACTAATTACAGTGTTTACCTGCATCTTGTTGACGTTGGGGAAATCTCCAGGCGAAATGTGGTGCTCCCTCTGCAGGATCTGGTAGATTTCGGGTAGGTGGGTAATCAGCTCTTCTTTCTTCTTCTCCTTTCCAAACAGAGAAGGCATCTCTTTCTTCAAGTAACTGATGATGTAAGCATGCACCTACAAGCATATAAAACAATATAGCAGGATTAGTGTAAGTTCAAGCGCATGGCCATCCTATACTTAAATAACCCTTTATGTAACCTTCAACTATAAATATGTGGTGTTTGAGATGGAAGCGATTAAAACTTGGAACACATAACAGAACGTCCTGTCCAAACACAGTAAATCTGAGATATCAACTATACTCTGGATGATCCATTCTTTTTGTAGACTTTATTTTATCACCAGGAAGCTGTCAGTCTCAGTGATTGATGGAGATAGCTTTTGTTTTATGCTCCATAGGGTCTTCACCTCATGCTCCCCCCAAGTTGGTTACATAATCTAAAGTTATCAACTGGTGTCCGCCTAGAGGCTGCCCCTTGCCAAAGGAATGGTCAACAGTGTCTGTGTTTACACACCTCTTTCCTTAATAAAGAGGAAGCATGCTGCAAGCGGGGACTAAAATAAAGCCAGGCTTTTTCCATGTTTTTTCCTTCCATGGACAGTCAAGGTCCAGCGACCGGCCCGAGAGGTGTAAACATAATGAGTGGCAACGCAAAGGAGAGTGGAAGCCAGAGGAACAAGTACCTCTACTATGTTAGCACACATCATAGCATTCCTTGTACCAGGGAAAAGGGATACACCAGACCCTTTCAGGGATGGAAGCGTGCACATAACTGACTCACATGGGCTTACACACAGTAGGAAAGAATGCAAAGAGCTCCAGGATTCCTGTTTGTTGGGCAGGATTGGGGAAACATTGTGGAAGAGATAAGAGGTGCTCTCGGCGGCAGCTCCGTAAATGGATTTTTTGGAAGGGCTCAGATGTAAGTGCTGTTCTCGGCACATCCAGGCAGCACGTTGAGAGTGAGTGGGTTTGCATGTTGCAGTTAAGCCAAAAATAACACTAGCTGAACCGCAATCAAACGCAAGACAAAACAGCTGTGACACAGCAGCAGAGGGCAGCATTATCTAAAATGAACATTTGCCCTGATACAGAATGGTTAATTTATAGCAAGTATTCTTTATAATAGTCTGAATTTAAGCACAAAATAAGCATTTAAGCTCACTCCTGACAATGTCAAACAGAACTATGGCTAATAGCTACAGTTGAATGCAAATGACTGAAAAACTTGTCAAATGATATGTTCTTTTGATTTTCCCTAGGGAAAATAAGTTTACACATCCTATATAAGGAGCAAACTTAAATATGGCACTTTTCTGCAACTTTTAGTGCACAATTTATATTTATTTGGTGAAAAAAATAAAAATAATATACCATATGTATACAAATAAAGAACACACTTCTGCACATTTTAATGCACATTCACTGTTTATTTGCTGAATTTATATATATATATATATTTTATATATTATATAATATATATATTTATATATATATATATATATATATATATATATATATATATATATATATATATACATATAAATATATATATATACGTATATGTGTGTTAAATTCAGCAAATGAACAGTGAATGTGTATTAAAGTGTGCAGAAGTGTGTTCTCTGTGGATATTTTCACTTAGAGAATCAACAAAACGTTTAATTTGCCAAACATATAAAAATTTCAACATTCAATGTTTCTTAGAAGTTTTGTAGCATGCAGAGTAGGGAAAACGGCAACATAAGCAAGACAGGGGTACTACCAAACCAGGTTAGGGAGTCTCTGCTCCAAATAATACAGACAACATAGCAAAGATTCTGTAAAGTGCATTGCCGCTCTGACAACTCAAAGCTTGCTGACCTTGGCGAGTCGAGCTCTTTTGATGAGGTCATTGAGCTTGCGCAGAGCTGCATTTCGTGGCAGGGCCTGGATGTCCCGGAAGAGGTCCTGTGCCTCGGCCTCAAACAGCCGACGGTTGTCTGTGTTCTGCAGTGGCTTGGCCCAGAAGGAGCCCAGGTAGACCCTCACCACCTCTGGGGTGTTAATCACTTTGCCAAGGGACCACATCAGAGCCCCGTAGACTCGCATTAACTGTTGTGTGTCCACCTGGTCAGCCTTGTTCAAGACTACGCGGATCTTGTCGTCCTGGCCACGGAAGGCCTTGATAGCCTCAGAGAACTCGTCAGAGATGTCCAGCTTGTGGGCATCAAAGAGGAGGATGATGCGATCCACACGCTCACCGAACCAGCGCAGGACTTCGGAGAAATCATAGCCTGTGGAGGAGAAAGGAGCGTTTCTAAAAGGAGCATGTACTGAAAAAAGTGATAGATACAAAATTCTGTACACATTTAAAGTACATTCACTGCACCACACCTTCTATTATGTATGTTTTACAAGTATTTTTGGGGTTAGATTAAGGTTCCTAACCTCAGAGTACCCCTTGAACATTTTATGTGTTTTTCTGCTGTAGCACAGCCACTTCAACTTCGAATGAGCTTGCTAATTAACTCATTAGTTGGATCAGGTGGAACCACTGAAATACAGTATGAAAAGATGGAGATGAATAGCCAAGGTTAAATTTGTCCACAGCTTTGGGCATGGATATAGTACCAGGGACGGAATATTATGCAGAGATCTCTGGGTACTGCAGCACATTTAGGACAATTATACTAATTGTCGGTTTCCTGGATGTGGACTAAACTGTAGTGTCAATGGTAAAACACTATTGAAAATTCCTTTTAGTCTAAGCTTTGCTTTAATCTGGGTCTGGGAAACTGGCCCAAGATGAGAATATTTTGAGAAACCTAATTATGTGTTGCACCTGCAATAATTATTTGCAACCTTGTGTAGATTGTGCATTTAAATACAATTCCAGTGCTGTAGAAAGGCCTGATTACGTATAGTGTGATTAGTCATAATGGTCATAACCAGGGGGTTCAACTGGTGGGGATCCCTGTTTTTCTCTGTTCTCTGCTTTCCTGTTATTTTTAAGAGACTGGTGGTAAAGACAATACAGTGTAAGACAATACAGTTTAAACAGAAAACATATGTTTGATTACTGCCAATTGTGATCAATGACATACAATTAGATTTGGAAACATGCTTCACTGACTACTGAAAACTCGTGGGCTTCCTTTCTAACATAACCAACCAATTTAACTCTGTTAAACTGATGAAGCAGTTTAGCAATACTAGTCTACAGAAACTACAAAAAGCTGGCTACCAAGCTGCAAATGTGACCCAGTGCAAGCCCTGATCAAAACACGCTGGATGAGAAGATACGAGATTGGTCAGCACACGAACAACACATACTAAACATTCTTCTGATTCTTCAGAGCACTCAATCAAGAACTACTGTCATTATAACAGAAACTGACTCTGATGCTGCAATCAAACTACTAAATGTATTTCAGCCTCTGAATGAGTGAGAATGCCTTCCCCTTTTAGTAGGGACAAGGGAGTCTTATTCAGAGGGAGGAAAGATATAAAGCTAAAGATAGTTGTCAGGTAGTGCATCATTTTTGCTTACTAACATGCTGTATACATAAGATGGTCTTTAGTCAAAAACTGCTCACAATATAAGACATGTACTTTGTACTGAACGAACTGCTGCTGGACCGTTGGAAGCAATTAAGTGCATATGGTGATGTACTCAGATTATAATGTAATAAGACATTCATCCAACTATTCAGCAGCCATGAGGAAATAACACTGTGAAAAACAATGACATGGATTACATATCGTTAGAGAAATGTTAGGAAATGCTGCCAAGTCCTTCCAAAAGGAGGAGCCTATTTTTTTACAATGTGGGAACCATTAAAGCTGCTCTTTGGCAAATGAATCAAGGGAAACTGGGTCTTTATAAAAGTCATGCCTATGTATATCAATGGAAAAAATCTCTCCACCATCACTAAATCAGTACTCAATTGAAACCGTCTTAAAAAGTAACACTTTTTTTTAAAAAAAATTCAGAAAATGTGAACATCCCAACGCATGAAAGCTAACAAGAGCTCTTCAGCTACATTCATTCTTAACAAACATTTTGTACCTACAGAAAAATTCCTACACAACCTAAAACCATCCTAAGCACTTAAATCATAAAGTATGTAACTAGCTGACTTCATTCACTTCAGCAATGAATCATCAATGGATTTGAGGGGCAACTGTTGGAGGAATTCAGCCTCAGCTGAAGGGGTTTGAAACAGGAACAGATGTGGAACGCCCATGGAGTGTTACTCCTCCACTCCAGAGTAGCATGGTGAACATTTGAACGACTGCGCAGCACTGTAGCCTGGTGTAACCTGCGTCAGACCCTCCACCCTGCACCAGCCTGTGCTTACCCTCCGCCGTGTCCTGGAGTTTTAAGATAAGGCTTGCTCCTGTGGCTAAGCACAACTCACAACTCATTTATCAGGCTTTTGCTATGACTTTGCATATTCCTCACTTCTTAGAGTAGTGTTGAAGGTAACTGAATTGCTGATTAATAACCTTGAACAAGTTACACGTGGATATGAGATAGTGAGGTTGCTGCCACAGTGGTAACCCCATCCTAATCTTTAGCAAAATGACAATATGTGCTGCTCTAGGAGTCGGAGGGAAAACATTATACATTATATCACACTATTTTGGGCTCAAAAACAGTACTGATACATTAAGCCCACTGTCAGACTAATAGATTACCAAAATGCGTTTCTGTCCAAATCCACTTTTCTGAGGCGAAGTGAGTCAGTGCAATCATTACATTAAATCTTAGATTTTTATGGGAGAACAGGGTTTGTTCCCACAATTAAGAGAGAAAATAGAAACACCATTAAGAGTCTTTGGGTGAGCCTTCCAACACTGTTATAGTAAATTGCTCTATATATTATTCTTCATAAGGATAAAACCTGTTTTAATGTTGTTTGTCTACTTTACAAATAACAGCATCTGCTGAAATATTGTTAATACAATGGCAATGTCCAATATTTATTAAATGTCTCAGAGCATGAATGCTGTTCTGGGGTCAGCTTACTCCAAAATGCCTGATAAATATTGATCATTTCTTTTTTTGGAATGCGGATATTCACCTCACAGTTCTGTTTTCCTGCAATAAATATACTGAAGTTAGATGAACAAAGTGTAAACCTAAACCCTTTTGGAGGCATAATTTGCAGTTAAAGTAATTAATCACAATATGCCATCTCTCAATACGTAAAATATCACAAATATTTTAATATCTCAACACAATCGTTTCATGGCTCATATATTACAGTTTACAGTTATTACGGTTTGCTTACTTCATCTATTTAATAAAAATTACCTTACTATAAAGATAACAGTAACTCACTAAAGTTAGCCTCAGCCAAACAATCTGCATAGCATTGGCTTTTCAGGCTCTTGTGGAGTCACACTGCTTATTAACCAGTCAAAATAGCTCAGCTGGCACATCACTTGACCAACATATATCCACATGTGCTGCTAAAGAGCTGAAAAGCAGCTAGCAACAGTTGCGAAGCAGTGATTGGAAGGCTAAGGATAATGGGATGGGTGTGGAGATCACTGATCTCAGTCCCTGATGTTAGCAGTCTAGTCACCCTCCTACCCAGTAGTACGATACATACTTTTGTCCCATATAGAATACTGTATACTACTATTAAAGAATAGCATGCCAAATACAGTATATATCAGTGCAATATGCAGCACATAGTACCCAGTATGCTATTTCGAACTCCTATGTTTCATTCATTAGCACCTCACTTGACGAATGCTGTTATACCCTTCCCAGTCTAAACTGATACAATATTTACATGAACTACTTGTTTTTCCATAAATATCTGAGCTCTGTGAAAATGTAAAAAATGTACACAAACCAACTTATTCAAGACGGTGATCAAACCAGACTTGTGAAATGAGGAATAGAAAGTGAGAAGTGCTGACAGCAAATGGCGACATCCCTTTGCTTGGGCTGTTATGTTCATCCTGCCGTACCCACAGGATGGAGGGCAGAGACGGAAATGATGCCTTACAAAGAAGCAGGCTTGCATCTGGTAACTGAGATTAAAACTAATGACCAAAGCACTATGACTGTGCCTGAATCACAGCTGTACGGCAAAATATGTTTAAACAAACTGGTGAAAACTAGCCTGCATTAAAGGAATGGTGCACATTTTCACCAGCAATGTAACAGTGGCAAATCTGATTTTTTTTTTTTTGTGGAGATCGATTTCAGCCTTGGTGCGTTGAAGACCAGCATAGTTTGGTGATTTCTTTGCTCAAACACACCTACTAAACCTCAAAACTGCTGAGCTGAATTAGGTATGTTTGAGCTGGGAAATCAACAAACTGGGCTGGACTTAAGTCCCTTAGGACTGGTCTCTGGTGTAGATCTTTGAAGGACTCTGCCAAGCACACATAACGTCATGAGGCTAGCTGGCTGGTCATGTGACATCCGATCACACTGCATTAAGAACTCATTGACCTGAAGTAACCCCTTTCCCTGCCAACAAGATGCTGGTCTCTAGCAAACATGTCAAGTGGAACACTTGAGAAGGCCATGATAGAAGAATGATCAGTGCTTGAGACAGCAGATTTTATTCTTTTATGTGTACACTTTAGCTGAATCCTCACAGCTTGCACATGTGGTCATGTGATCCTCAGACTACTGCGCTCTCTTGCTGAAATGAACCCAATAAGAAAATGCAAAAGTTTGGCAACATGGCAGAGTCGAGAACAGCATTGACACATTGTGCACTGCTGCTACTAACCTCTGCTAATGCGCTGCTTTTCCCCAGACAAGATGCCCGGCGTGTCGATGATGCTAATGCTCTGCAGGACTTGGTTGGGCATCTGAGAGCAGATGAACCTGGCGGTGTAGAAAAAAGAAAGTGTGTTATCAAAGCAAACACAGGTACGATCTCTACAGCTGCTTGTTGACTGTAAATCATCCATCTGAGTCAATGGGAAACGAAACTGACCAAAACTGATGCCTTCCCCTACGGATTTACCGAACTTTATTCATTTGAGCTTCTGCTTCAAAAGGTCAAATGACAGAAGTAGTAGTATTATTAATAATACAATTACATTAAAGGTTAAAGTAAGGGTTGTACTTCTAATAGAGCAAGGAAGTGAACACACACAAAAATCAAGCTTACCAGACAAAAAAATTAAGTCCTTTTATGAAGTAATTAAAGTTACATGGAATAATTTTCTATTTTACAGGTGTTTCTTTGTAATTTTAATTTTCACCTGGATCTCCAAATGTCGATGTTTTTCTCCCTCTTCCCCTGTGAAAATTACAGGGCTTATGACCTACTGTTTTTCACCATATTCAGTGGTTTAGTGGTGCTCTTATCATTTTAGTTCTGTCCGGATTATGTCTATGTTTTTCCAGACAGACATCATGTGATTTTGATAGCTGCTACTCGTTTTGGTCTCCTAGACTACATATTAGAGAACCACCCCGAGACATTAAACACTTCCCAAATTGCAAAATGAAAAATGAAAGCTTTTGAAGAGCCACTCAACCATTTACTTGGTTAGGTGGTAAAACTTTGACTCCATACGTTAACAGTGAGAGCATTATCAGGAGAAAAAGAAAATAAAATCAATGAAAAAGCGTGATTCTGCAGGCTCATTACTTTGTATTCACATTACCACATTATTATTCACATTATAAAACAAAGTACAACCCACAAGAAACCTGCTTGTTGTGGAGTAATTTTATTGCCTTCTGGATGTGAGAGTTTTATCACGGAGGATTTTATAACAGACATTCCCCTGATAAACTAATCCAATCCAAATAGGGCTTTAGTCACACATATCATTTCTTCTCTTATGCTTTACATTACATGTCCCTGTGCCTTAATGACCAGTGCTAATCCTGTCAGGTAAGGATTACCCCAGTTCATTTTAGCCCACTCTTCCACTAACTTGTACAACAATTTTTTGTCTTAACAGAACACAACACTGTCATTATCACACTCCAAGATGAGAACTGTAGGGTGTCTGTATGTGACTGGTTCAACAAATATCATGGAACACTTTACTTCACTATCAAAATCGCTAGTTCCCAATTCCAGTTCTAAATTTGGAGCAGCAGGTAAAATGTAAAAAAAACAACAACACAGAACTCCAACTGAAATGTGTACCAAGTTTCTGAAAGAGTGGCTATAATACACAGGAACTGTCTCAAAAGACTGGTTTAGTCCCTTCCTGATAGGACTCATGCCATTATTAAAGCAAGGGGACGCATAATCAAATATCAGAAAAGAAATGTTGCATAAAACACATTTCTTTCCATAATCAGTGATCCTAACAATGATATATGTACCTCAAATCATTTCCACTATACATTTTTATAGTGAGAGATCTTTTTTGTGTGAAACAACTAACATAAACATTATCAAATGTGTTTAGGTTTTCTTATAACTCTTTTTTAATGATTTTTAGGAAAGAGGAAATTGCAACATCTACCAACTGAAATTTTTAGGGAGGATCAAACGGAGAAATAGCTTGCTTAGGTTTTGTTCTTTAGAAAATGATACATAACTAGACTGGTCTGATCAACTGGGACTTTTTCAAGGGAGAAAGATAATCAGTCGCTCCAAAATATGCCATCATATGACGCACAGACTGGTCCACAGGAAACAAGTGCATTGTTTGAGGTTCCTCTGGAAAGAAGAGATGTTTTCTGTCAAGTGTGCCTTTGACCTCTGTAACTGTGACTGTCAAAGAAGCACTAACACATTTCCCCTGGACATAAATATAAAGGCAACAAGGGGAAAAAAATACTCCCCCAACTGTCTGCATGCTAAAGTTAAACATTAAAAAAAGCACAGCAAACAACATCCACTACTGCTTAAAAAGAGGCGTGACCGACCACTTCCCACAGCTAACTTGTTTATGGAAAGTGGTGCCAGTTATATTAAGTCATAAAGGCCATGAGGAAAGGAAGCAATGGAGTGTACTTAGGGAACATAACAAGTAGCACTGCATTCTTCTACAGGAACTGCACTGGTTTGTTTTATTTTAATATTTATTTATTATAAAAGTAAATACTCTAAAATCATCAAGATTGTAGAAGATCACTGTTGATAAGCATACAAACCACAAAAAGCAACAGAAACAAACTGATGCTTTTGTGCTTTTTATTTGTATTGCAAACTGTCCATTCCATGCAAGTGCACTACTTTACACCACACATTCCAAACAGGTTCTTTAAAGCCTTCTCCTCGGGCACAGCCAGTGGCAGAATACATAGTTATGGAAAACTCTTGTTTTGGCAACAGCTCAGGTGGATGTCAATCCTGTTACACCGTCTACCAACTGTGAGTGTACATCCATGCCTGTACTCTAGATATTCAAATAGCCACAAAGCCTTGCGAACTGTGAAGAAGGGTAATATGGGGTAACTCTATTTCACTGACAGTTGACCTACTGCACAGTTCAGTGTTTTACTGGACTTAACTCTATAACAGATAACTGTCAAGTCCTTCATGAACTGAATCATGAAGGTGTGCTACAGCACACCCTTGTGCTGATAAATATATTAGCGATCTGTATGTTTTAACTGATAAATGGAAAATGTAATCAATATTATCACCTTATAGTGGAATTTCTGCTGATAATTACTGCAGATAAGTTTCTATGTGTACTTGCACATGCATGGACACATGTACAGCCAGTTAGTGGTGGATATTTCTATTCTACTGAAATTAGTAAACTGAATGATTAAGCTATGTAAAGTTAAGGGGCTGTATACTACTATTAAAGAATAGCATGCCAAATACAGTATATATCAGTGCAATATGCAGCACATAGTACCCAGTATGCTATTTCGAACTCCTATGTTTCATTCATTAGCACCTCACTTGACGAATGCTGTTATACCCTTCCCAGTCTAAACTGATACAATATTTATCATTTCGATATGTACAGGCAGAAAGTTTAACTAACACTGTTAACCAGCAAATGTGGTGCTGCTAGGAAAAACAAGCTCAACTAAAAATAAGCTGCTTTTTATTTACGTCCTGATTTGCGATCAAATGTCACAGAAGACCTTTGATCTGTTTGGTTAGCAGACAACAAAAACACTCATGATGTAGGCTACCGCTTTGAATAGAACTTTTTTCAACTCTGGGCACCTGAGGGCCTCTGCACAAAAGACTGTGGCTCATGGCGTATTACAATGGAGGTGCCAAGCACGCAAAAACATAATGCAAAATGTGTCTCTTCCATGAAAAAAATTGAGAATAAGCACACACACACCATGTGAACCTTCCTTAGAGTTTTAACTACTCTTACACTTACAGCACTTCATAAAGAGATTTTGAAACGCAAAACAATAAAATGATCAGTTATGGGCCACAATAACTATCAGCCCAGAAAATCTGTACATCTCTAGCAAACAACATGGCCCTACAACGATTTTGAAGTTTAAGGAGACACTCTTCTGTTTTACTTAACTTACAACTTCTCAAGCAATAATACATGAACCAAATCAACACATAGATTGAATCACCATGAACTGCTTACCAGAAGGATGGGGATGTTTGACTTAAGGAAACATATTAACCAAAGATCTAGACAGACAATTAGAAAAGAAACCTTACATTATCATCACCTGTTCAGGAAAGCATTTCCAAAGGCATTGAGTTTACGAAATGGTTTCTTGGGGTCCACAACCAGGGCATTGCCAGGTACAACCCCCTCATTCTCCCCATACATAACAGCGATGAATCCATCTGTAGTGGGCTCTGGCCCAATCCGCATACCAGGAAAATCCTGCTCCAGGAGATACCTACAGCCAGAGGAGCAAAAAGAAAGAACATCCACATTCTACACTCATCTTCAGTAAAAGTGTTATGAGAGAGACTATACAAAAACCTAAAAGTGCTCTTTGATAAACTAAATCCATAGAAAACTAATCAAGAACTTTATTTTAAAATGTTTAAAAAAAGATACAACATTTGCACTTTTTGTTAGCCAGTTAAAATGGTTGCAGATAGACTATAATGATTTCTAGGAACTAAAAACTAGAATTCTGATTTTTTTGGGATTGACTGCAAACTTCAGAATCAATCTGAAATTATGAGGATATGCAAATATTCTGCTATGCAGTTTCAGTTTCCAATGAAATTAAATGGGAACATAACTTGAGTAAAATAGCAAAACAAAAAAACAAGCACTGTAATCAGCTTCTATCCACCACTGGCAGCAAAACAAAAGATTAATTAACTATTAACTTTGCATTGTTTTGCATAGATGAAGGGGATGAGGGTCAGATTAGGGTGCAACAACTCACAACAGACTCTGTGTAATTCAAAACAGAAATCATTCTATGGGTTTTTGAAATAAGAGATTATCAAATGAAATGCATACACCAGTGATGTGACTGCTCACACTTTAAAGGCCATTTTCCCAGACCAACATTAAGCCTCCAATGCTGGTTCACCTCTGGCACAGCACTATGGCTCAGTGAAAAACTAGGGAAACTAGGGAAACTGTTTCCATATCTGGGAAACTGGCCCTAAAATGTTGAGTCATTAAATACTGTACCTGTTTAAGAGACGGCCATTACTGAACAGAAGACTACATTACAGTTTACTCCCTTGTGCAGAGGTTAGCATACAAAAACAGATTGAGACCTCCTCATTAACCTTGTCCTTCCTGCAACTTCCTAGCTACAACATTAATCACCATAACCTGCAAGAAGATGACAAAGAGCTAAAGGTTTCTCAGAAAGGAAGACCTGCTATGAGTTTTCCAGGCACAGACCTGAGAGCCTATAACTAGGTCTTAGACTAAAACCACTAGATGTTTAAAGAAATATGAGTGAATTCAGCCTCTTTGATATGCTCGAAGAAAATTATAAGATTTGAGGAAACAACACTTCAGTCTTATTAACACGTTCTCATTTCTGGAAAACGAAACACTGAATGTCAGACAAATTAAGGAAGTAGCCCGGATCTTTTTTACTAGAGTGAGAAAAGAAGGTTAGAATAGGGTAGGGAAATATATCGTGATTACAATCAGTGTAGTTCTTCATGCCCTGTTCCTGATTAAATGTTCAGGCAGATGACAAGGGTACACACAAAGTCTGTTCGATTTTCAGTCCGAAATATACATGATGGCTTCAGTGTTTGTTTTCTGGGTGCTCAGCAATCAAGACTGTGCGAGCGGGTCAATAGCCTATAGGCTTTCATGCACATAGATGTAATGTAGTTTTCTTACTTTAGCATGCACTCATTAAAAAGTGTGTGCTTTTTATGTACATGTACACCGATCAGGCATAACATTATGACCACCTCCTTGTTTCTACGCTCATTGTCCATTTTATCAGCTCCACTTTCTATATAGGTGCACTCTGTAGTTCTACAATTACAGACTGTAGTCCATCTGTTTCTCTGCATACTTTGTTAGCCCCCTTTTACCCTGTTCTCCAGTGGTCAGGACCCCCATGGACCCTCACAGAGCAGGTACTATTTGGGTGGTGGATTATTCTTAGCACTGCAGTAACACTGATGTGGTGATGTGTTAGTGTGTGTTGTGCTGGTACGAGTGGATCAGACACAGCAGTGCTGCTGGAGTTTTTAAACAGTCCACTCACTGTCCACTCTATTAGGCACTCCTACCTTGTCAGTCCACCTTGTAGATGTAAACTCAGAGACGATAGCTCATCTGCTGCTACACAGTTTGTGTTGGTCATCCTCTAGTCCTTCATCAGTTGTCACAGGATGCTGCCCACAGGATGCTGTCGGCTGGATATTTTTGGTTGGTGGACTATTCTCAGTCCAGCAGTGACACTGAGGTGTTTAAAAACTCCAGCAGCACTGCTGTGTCTGATCCACTCATACCAGTGCAACACACACTAACACACCACCACCACATCAGTGTTACTGCAGTGGTGAGAATGATCCACCACCCAAATAGCACCTGCTCTGTGAAGGTCCATGGGGGTCCTGACCACTGAAGAACAGGGTAAAAGGGGGCTAACAAAGTATGCAGAGAAACAGATGGACTACAGTCTGTAATTGTAGAACTACAAAGTACACCTATATAGTAAGTCGAGCTGATAAAATGGACAATGAGTGTAGAAACAAGGAGGTGGTCATAATGTTATGCCGATCAGTGTACATCATTTTATGGAGGCCTATTCCTGCAAGATAGAGGAGGAAAAATTGTCTGTTTTTTTTTTCTCCCTCTACTTCTCTGTTTCAACTTCACTGTGAAATAATGACTTATTTTCTCAAGATTTTGACTTAGTGTCTCAATGTAATGACTTGTGTCCAAACAATGGCTTATTTTCTTGACATTTTGACTTAGTATCTCAAACGCCTATGTCAAAATAAGGATTTACTAAACTCCAAGAAAGTAAGTAATCATTTGAACATACGTAATTATTTTGGAAAAAATAAGCTACTAAGTCTTACTTTCTGAAATATAAGTCATCATTTCGAGACACCATGTCAAAAATTTCAGAATTACTGCTTTCTTCTGCTCTACCTGGTGGGAATGGGCTTCCATACACTGTAAAAAATTACCATAGCGTTTACTGTAATTTCCTGGCAGAGGTGCCAGTAAAGTAGTGTATATTCACTGTAAATATTTTTACAGTGTTTTACTGTATACTCTGTTGTTACTGTTAACCAATTTACCGCTCTAAATGCCTAAACTTTTACAGTATGATCATGTAAAACAGCAAACCAGCATTTTACTGTAAACTAAATGCTGTAAATTTACAGCAGTCCTGCGGGGAGCATTTGGTTTATTTCACACGCAATGAAGAAAAGGTGACCTGTGTCCGCCTGTTTATTTAATGAGTCCTGCTTCAGACTGTGGGGCTACTGTGAGGTGGCGTTTAGAGCCTAGAGTGGGAATTTACTCTACACTAACTCTTTAAACATACGGGCGATAAACTGCTGTTTGTTCGGTGTGTTAACACAGCATGACTGGGCTTTTTCCTGTGAGTGGAAACTGTCTGTCTCGAGCGGGTCTTTTTTAACGTACTCTGTAATTACGTTAATTCGTAAACTGCGAAGTGTCAACGGTATCATTACCTTATGAAAGTAGTCTTCCCTGTGGAGTACTGCCCAACCAGAAGCACCATCGGCTTGCTCTGAAAATCCGCTTCTTCCAGCGCCGGCGAGTGGAAGTCATGGAAAAAGTAGGCTTCTTCTAAAGGCAGCAGTTTTTTGGAATAGAGACTTTGAAGTCCCTCCGTCACTGTTTGAAACATATCGCCGTCCTTGTTTCTTCCTCCCTGCTCCTTATTTACCCAAGTGAACATGCTGCTTCTTTTTAACGGACCAGTATTGTGTAACCTTACTTCGCTTTTTGCCTCGTAGTTCGTCCCTGAGCACGCCCAAGGTCTAAACGTCTCGTCTGCTGTTGTGCTGTCTGTACACCAGGGGACCCGTTACTAATGAAACCAACCCAACCAGACAGCCTGCCAGCCTCCCTCTCTCTGCACACTTCCAGCTGTGCAACCGTCACCATACCTGAGTCTCTTAAGCCAATGATGTAATGATGTAATCATGAATATTCAATGAGAGGAAAGTACAGCATCGCGGCTGAGGGCGAGGCGATGGGCGGAGCTAAGCGCTCCCTGCGCTTCTGCTGAGTGTACTTGTTCCACTTGTTCCAGGGTGTGTTCACACACAACGTTATTTTCCCCATAACTGCCACCGCCTGTTTCCACAGAGGCCTGCGAAAAGCGCCTGCTCTGTAAAAATGCTGAAGCTGATTTTTTTGTGGTACAGTCGGATCCAAACTTTTCAGAAATGCACCGTGACGTCACTTTTTTTCTCGGACAACCAATCATTGAGAGAAGTATTTTCTCCGAGTGGCGGTTTCTCATAGCAACTGAAAGCTAGTTCTGTCAGTAGCGAGCCTATATAAAAGTCAATATATGATATACTAGTTCATCTGATTAAGCTAGCATAGCAAGCCAGGCTAGTGCTGCGTTGTTATGGTTACAGAGTGCACGGCTAGTGTTTTTTTTATGTACAAAAAGGTGCAGGTATTCTGCAAGCGACATGTACCATTTTATTAAATGATATTCAGTGAACTTTGAAATTGTGTGTGTAATTTATTCATTAAGATGTAAACAGTCATTCAGAAATGCTCCTTTCTAAAGAAACGTGCTGAGTCAGAATTGTTCACCACAGTGGTGACAGGGAAGCGTTTAAGGTCTCTAAAAGGTACATCACTCAAAAGTTTTCACGAAATGTATATGTTATACACTGCTTGTTGCCTGATATCTTGTTTTACGATGGTTTTGAGATAAATTTGAAACATTTTGAAATCCATTGATAGGTCATGGATACCTGCAGGGCGTTGGAAGTCAAAATGGTATAGTCACAACATTTTTTTTTTTTCAGATTTACGCCTCATTATTAACCTTATTAACCACATAAAACTCAGAAGACATGCTTTGTTTTGGATAGTAAATAAAATTGATAACTATATTTGTAGATATCGCAACCCCAGCTTTATCACATTACTACTGCTTTAAAGAAACCAGTCTGTTACATAAAACCAAAATTAAATTAATTTAGTTACCAGTGTTTTGTTTGTTCTCAATGAATTATGAAGATTTTTTTTAAACAATCAGTGGAATTCCCCTTCGACAAAACGTCTTTATCAAATGAAATAAAATATCATTTTTGTTTTAAAAAATATTTTGAGATATTTGGGGATTCTTGTCAGTAATTCTAAACAAGGGTAATGGTTTTATAAACTCTTGACTGGCTTTGCTGCTTCTTCTGGTGGCTTCAAGCTTTTTTTTTTAAACTGTCCGTCCGCGCCACCGTGTGGCCAGTAAGAATTAAGATAGACTGGCAAACCAAACTAGCCCGGAGGCTATGCTAAAATACCACCTACAACTTTAATTTGCTGCAGCTTTAAAACATAAAATATTTATATTGACGGCCATATAACATACATTACATCTCACTTTTACCTTGAGCGATTTAAGGTGTCTGTCATATTGTAATTTTGCAAAAATAGGTTTTAGATTAGCATGAGGACAGCACAAAGTGAGTTATCAGAACTTAACCTTGATTCATGCATCACCAATAAAAGATTACAAGACACGCACGTTTTTCCCATCATTTTATATTCATATACTTATACATTTGTATTACACATTCAAAAACAATACTTGTGCAAATATCATTCTCCTCCTTAAAAGTGATCCGGATAACTATAAATGTCTTAGTCTGCATTGTTACAGACTTATAGAGGCTAGTATTTCAAATGGTGTTAAAAAAAAAACAAAAAACAAAAAACAAAAAAAAACAATATATTCCGATGCACAGCATCATCCATCAATGTTTAACATTACAAAAAATAATGTGTCAAAATAGTAAACACAGTTGGCAGGTTAAGTCATGTAAGTATTGTAGGTTTACATGCATAAAAAAGACAGCTCCATAATGAAGGAGCACTAGCACAGGTATTAGTGCCCAACTTATATCTTCATGCTTTGTAGCACTGGTGCAACAAAACCAGTACACCAAAAAGATACGTTCTACCACCAGCCACACACACACACAGAACACATCCTAGTCACAAAAGTCAGCTCTATACGAACTCCTCCGAACACGACACTTAAAGGTGTTTTACAAAACCACCAATTTTCAATGGATACAATCGAATACAATGCATCTCATGTTCTCATTTTCACCAAATATGAAGGCTTATCTGTCAATATTGATGTTTTATTACATCTCAATGTTAAAAATTGATTAACCCATCTGTTGATGTCAAACAGATACATGGATATCTCCCTTTTTCTTTTTTTTGTTTATTTGTTGACAGTTGGTCAGGCTCATCATGTTGTCAGTTACCTACTGTCTCATACCGTTTCTCTCAGTCAACAACAGCACAGCCACTAAATTATGCTTAATTAGAGTTGCAAAAGCTTTTGCTCTTTATGCTCCATTCTTGAACTGTAGCCATCTGAGACCTGCACTACCCTGGTTAACGTGACAAATACAATCCAGTCAGAGGCCGCCAGCCATCCATCCCTAAACAAATCGTGACCTTAAAAAAAGAACACGCCATCCTCAGGAGCAGAAACCTGAGACTAAGGACTCTCAGGATACTCATGTGTTTCTCCTTATTCATCTCACCAGATCCAGCTCTTTTTCCCCTCCCCTGTGGCCTAACAATGTCCTCATCGGGCACCAGGCCCTTGGGACTAGAACCATAGGGCTAACGTGACAGTCACGGGTCAGGCAAGTCCGAGGTATCCACTGTGACCTTGATGAAGATGGTGTCGTCCTTGATATAGGTGCCATTTTCCAGCACAGTCTGGGCCACGAAGAGTGGGCAGCCCGAGGCAATGTTCATCTCTCCGGTGGGCCGGCGGAAGCTACTGCTGTTGGGGTCAGGCTTGAATGCATCACCCAGGTGCTTTCGTGCCGTGCCCTGGTCCATCAGCATAAGTGTCACCTTCTGCTTAAAAGGCCATGGCAGCAGTGCGTCGTACTCACCGCGCATCACCACGAAAAAGAGTGACAGGTGTGTGCCTTTGCCCATGCCATCACCGTTCAGGTAGACACGGGCGCACATCTTGTAGCCGAAGTAGCCCGTGTAGAAGGGCTGGCTGTAGAGTGAGAGCGTCTTGGAGGCCACTGCCTCTGCTTTCCGCCTCTTGTAGTCCCTTATCTTCCAGATAAGTGTGCCGTTGAAGCTGGCCGTCTCCAGCACCTGCAGCTTCAGGTCCATGTCTGCCAGCCGGATGTCGTGTACACTGAGCATCTCATCGTGCCGCGACAGCTGCGTTTCTAAGGAGGCTGGAGAAGGAATAATGCAACACAAGACATTCATAAATGCAAGTTGATTTAAAGACATTTATCTATGGCACATACTGTTCCAGTTACCAGTGTTTAGTTTTTTATAGTGTTTAGTTACAAACTTAATTTAAAAGGCCCATAGCCTAGATTTTACTTGTATGTATGTACTACCCTGAAATCCACTGACAATGTTGGTCTGGGTTTATGTACCAAACAGAGTCATAATTCATGTTTACATGATTTTACAAACCTCTATTTACTGCTTAGAATCAAACAGGTTGTTTTTGTAACTGTGGAAGACACCTCATAACTTCAACTGCAAATAGGCGAGGCTAAACTGCTCTTACTTTAGAAAGGCCCAAAAATATAATAATTAATTATAATACCATACTTATAATTGTAATTGCAAGCTGCAGAACATCCTGAAGATGTTAGATTAGAGCTGTACCTAAATTCTATGGTACTAGTCTTGCCTTGCCTAGCCTTGTGTTTCACAAAAATATAGGAGGAACATGTTTTATTATTCAAAAAACAGACACAGGACATTGGCAGGTTTTCGTTTTGGATGGATAACCAAGGCTGCCACTTCAGATAAGCTAATGAGCTAACAGAAATAACAAGTGTCACATTGAAAGTTGATAAGGACTCACTGTCTTCTACATGAGGTATTTTCTCCTCAGTGGATGATGTGCCAGTATGTTACTTTTCAGAGAAGTGTATTTTCTTTCTGGACCTCACTAACATCAGCTGAAATATTAGCCCGGTTAACTATGCAATCTTGCCATTTCTACCTCAGGTTCACATACTCTTGTTGCGGACTGGCAAAGTACTTTGTCTTCTCATGATAACGAATCCCCAAATAGTAATTTCAGCATTTGAATCTTGACACCTCAAACAGTTAACCAAGAAGTAGCCGTGCACATCCCAAATCTGCACTCACCCAGGGTATGTGTACCAGCACCGGTACGGGTGGAATCGAGTGAAGCTACCACAGAGCGCATGCTCTCCACAGCACCCCTCAAAGCTTCCACTTCATCCCGCATAGCCCGCAGCGGCCGCAAATCCCTCAGCTCAATCTCAAACTCCAGCAGCTTCTCTGAGTGACCACTCATCAGCTTCTACACGAATACAGACACACCCACCACATCACAATCTCATCCCATGTACCAAAAGCTTCATGATACTGAACAGGATTGCTGTACACAATTTTTAAAATCGAATTCAATCTTTTAATACCTTTTAAAGACTTCAACAAAGCAGAAATAATATCATCACACTACATGGAATATATTAATGTCCATGTTATTGGTTTTGGTTCTAAAAGCCTGGATATATGCTTTGAGATTGCATGGTCCTTGTACAGTCTTCTCAGTGTGTTTAACTTTGTTATCAGGTTTGCTATCCTCTAGTCCTTCATATATACAATGAGCTCTCATGAGTACAGTCATGAGCACAGTCCTTTAATGCAGAGGATCAGTTGATAGTGCAATCCAATCTTTGTTTGTTCATCGACAATATAAAATCTATTAACACCAGCACATGTAAAATTTGCTAGGCTGACAATAAATACTACAGTAACTGTTACTTTGCTTTTAGTATGCGCATAATATGACATTCTGGACTGATATCATTACTGTCTTGCCTTAATTTGTAGCTTACTCTTTGCTGTGTTACTGATCTCCATGACTACTACCAGATACTTTAATGTGCAAGAAAAT